CAACTTGTCCATCCTCTACTTTCTCAATGAGGTTCTATGGAGTATTAAAAAAGAATAAAGTAATAAAAATAGAATATGTATTAAAAGAAAAGTATAGAAAATTTTAGGACTGTGGATTGATTAATTAATTACTGTATCTTTTTATAATGAATCTCCAAAAATGTAAATTTTAAGTGTCTGTTAATCAGAAAATCAGTCATACATAGATTGTTTTAATAAAGATTTAATTAATAAATTATTTACTGCTGAATATGAAAGCTATGAAATCTCACCCTTGTATTTAAATTTTAACAGGAATCAATACCATGTCATTAAAATGTTAGTTCATTAAAATAGTGAGATGTAATTTTCTGCTACATTTACGAGAATATTGGAGTTTAAAAATAAATTAGAATTTGAAAATGAAATATCATAGTCTCTATACCGAACAATATATGTACACAGTCGAAAACCAAATAATGATATACTTAATATTTCTATCTTTTTCTTTTTCTTAAGATATACAAAGAACATTTTATAGAAATGATCGGTGTACAATAGATTCCTTACTGACAGACATTCGAATTTGAATTTTTGAAATATTATATGTGAAAAATTATATAGCTATAAACTATAAACCATATACTATAGAAGTAAATTAAGCATATGTAAAAATGTTTTTTCATTATCTTATACCACCTCTTTTATTGTAACTGTAATTTTGAAATGTTTAGCATATTAACACTTTCGCGGACACTTGTAAAATTGAAATTGCACATAGAATCACACATATATCTCACAAAACTAGACAGGATTTCGAAACTTGTTGGTATTTTTTCATATCAATTAGCATCCGTATATGTTGTTGTTAATAAAAACAATATTAGATGGCTACAGCCGTCTCGTTCATGGAAAGATTAAGTAACTTACCCTAAATACTGCTAAAATAATGCGAGTTACTTTCTCCTTAACAGAATCACTTAAAATGTCCGCCAATATAGGAATGACACTAAACCTAAAATAAAAATTTTATGTTATATTTTTAACAACTGTTTAAAATGCAATTACACATATGCAATATACATATATGCAATACGTACTTATTCATTTTCTCTGCAAGCAAAGGATTAAAAGTGAGTACCCATATACAGAATATCAGTTGATATTGTACTTGGAAATTTACTCTGCCCGTCAGAACACTCAGTAAAGTAGAAATTCCATCAACTGACACGAATGCGAAACGATACTCATCTATGCGAAGCATCATTTGTAAACAACGTGCCACGGACTGAATGTATTCATTATTCTGAATAAACACGATGGTATATATAATAAAAATATAATTAAACAACAAGATTGAAATTTAAATTATGTGTGTGCACCAAAAAAGTAAAATAGAAAGAAATCATTATGCAAACCAAATGCGAATGCACTCTTATATGTACAAAACAAAAACAATTTACATTAACGATAAAATCTTATCAGAGATGCACAGGCATCCAGCATTAGTAATTTCTATTTTAAATAAAAATAATTTCGTATAAAGAATATTACATATGGTTATCATAATGTTTATTTATTTTTATATTCAATTGTATTCTGTTTGCAATTATAACTCTTTGTACCTCGCGCTATCTTATGTTTAAAAATTGATAGGAAAGTTTAGCTGTATGACCTTTTCGTGTTAATACATACTTAATTATTATGAGACTAACCAGACTTTGTAGTTCATGTAGCTCATTTGCTTCTTTGTCTATAGTGTTGCCTTGTTCTACTCTTGTATGTAAATCTGTATCCTGAGGAACCTCAAGCTAAAACCCCATATATTTAAATAATTGCAATCATTTTCTATCGCTTTACTGTGTAAGCTACAGTATGCCTATATTTTTAATGTATAGTTAGTAGCATTTGATCTAAGGCGATTTATTGGCATTTGTATTTATATACTTTAGCAGACTTTTATAAATTCACTTATGTGGAAGTTACATATATAAAATTTGTATAAAATATATAAATTTTTACGAATTTCACTTATTGTATGATTAAAAAGAAATAATATATAATGATACAAAATACAAATGAACAAAGGAAAATAGTTTTGAGACTAATTAATGAATTATATTATACAATATTTGAGTTATAATTTACACGAAGCAGGCAATTGAAATTACTTCATAATTACATATTCTGCAATATATCAAGTCATAATCTCCTTGAAACTATTCATTCAACTTATCAACAATATAAAAATATTTTAAGGAATAATAGAAGTAGTTCCAATTACGTTCTCCATCCTATATGGTATAATGGAAACCAACACCATTGTGTACACACACATAATTACATTATATAAAAGAGAAAAGCTAAGCTAGTGCTAATAAATTAGAAGCATGTGTTAATATTATGATGAAAAATACATTTATGATGGTACACAAATATATTTTATTTTTAAAGTATGTTTATAATTCTTAAATCGTGTAATTAAATAATTATATATCTGTTAACTTACACTGAGTTTTAATTGATCCTTTAACCATGTCAAGTAGAATTGAAGATCTGTCTTTTCCATTAAATCGTGACTCCAGCAAGCAAGTTTGGCAATAATTCGAGAGGTCATATTCATTATAAATCCATCTTGTCTATTTAACAAGTTCAAGAAAGGGCCCCATACTGATTCACGTTTGCGACTTGAATGTTCTCTGAAGATTTCTACACGACTTCGATCTTCCTAAAATATATTTGAAAACATTTAATAAAAATAAATCACATATTACAAGAAAATTCAATCTATGCGAATTCCATTTATTTCAGTGAAATGAGTTTTTATTATTTCAACTATTGTCGCGTATAATTTCAGTTATATAAACTCCTAGCTTGAATATAAATAATTTTATATCATTAGAAAGAAAAAAGGTAAATATATGATTTGATTTAGTTATAAATGTAAATGTGAATTTTGGTTACTCGAATAAAAAGTTTTAGATAATAAAAAAAAATTAGTACACTTTTATTTCACAAATGATTCAGTTATCTCAATCATTTTGCCTTCCGACGAATTTGGATAAAGGGTGTTTTACTATGTTTTAATTTATGTGATTTGATGTACCTGAAGCATATCATCAATCATTGTAAGGATGTATTGTATAGTCTGGTCTTTTGAAATATGGCCAAGTAAGTTAAGAAAAGTTTTAGCAGCTTGATGTGGATTTTCTTTAAGTTTTGCATCTCGAACACTAGCATCGTTTGTATCAAAAGCCACTATAAAATCATAATCTTCTTTTGATATCATATGAGACCTATAAAACATAGAATATTAAGTGTTATTTAATACATTTAATTTATATATATATATGTATGTATTTTCAGGAAAATTTGAGGAAAAAATATTTTGAAAACAGCTAGTGAGCTTTTAATCAGTCACAAATTTTAATATTAAAAATTTCCATAAACTTTTCCTTCGATAAAAAATTAAGTTTGTTTGGCTGTTTTAAATGGTATCATGTATTATTGATTTCATAATGTATTAGCTGATATCAAGAACTATTTAGTGACCAGAGTAATATAAAAAAATACACATGTAGGCTCAAATATAATACTTAAACAAACGATATTCTCAATAACGAGCAAATCGAGATGAACAAATTCGTTTACTTTTGGGTTCACCAGATATTATGCTATTACAGTATTTCTTATAATTTTAAGAGAAAAAATTAATGCACTGGATTTGTAATGTATTCACCAACGGTAAAGGGAATCAGCAAGAAATTCTCAATGTAACGAATTCAATTTTTACATATTACCACTGAACTAGAATTAATACAAATATCTGTTCCTTTATCGAGCAAAAAACTACTTTGCTATTTTGTATCTCTGTTATAACATTTTAAAAAAGAATTTACCAGCCTATGTTTAATACGACGGTTCCTTTTGTTATTTTTACTTATAAAATATATAGTAATGCTTTATAGAAACAAACTGGACCCTATCCTGTATGTATAATATGCGAATAAAGAAGAGATACACATATTATATATATGTAAGATTTTATAGATTATTCGAAATAAAACTTTATGAAATATTTACATATATATAGAAATATTTTGATATTAATATTTAAAACGACGGTATTCTTACTGTTGATACGATTGCCACTTGATTTGTTGATTCCTAATATCAGCAGCTTGTTGCTGAAGAATGCTCGTAGCTGCTAGCATATCTAAAAAGTTTTAAACGTTATTGTTATCTATTGTTAATAAACAACATGTAATCATGCCAATAAAAGAATAAAACAATAATGCAAACTTATGCAGATGCTTATAGTCTTATATTCAGGATAACAAGTATACATAAAAATATGACACAAATATAATATATGATTAACAAAAATATATTACTTAAATAACAATAAATATCGTTAGCCTATACAAAAGTGTGTCTCGCAAAGCTTTTTCAAATTATTATAAAAAGAATGAATGTCTTTATCATGACATAAGAAACAAACTTCTGTGAAATGACATATACAGTAAAAAATTGGATATAGTTCCGTACATATTAGCAATTTGTCATTTTTTTTTTTTTTTTGAGAAATGAATAAAATTAAGACGCAAATAAAAGCAATATAATCCTTGTAAATCATATAAACACAGCACATTATTGGGAGGGGCAATGTCAAATTAAGAAATAAATATGTATGTTTAGGTCAATTACCAATTTTTTCATCCGGTAAAGCCGGTATCATTTCTTTAATGTTCACGCGATCAACCATTTTTGTTGTTGTTGCTTAAATTCTGTATAATTTATTTAATACTTGAGTCGCAGAGAATTAAAGTCCTGCTGTCGTAAATTTGCACCTCCCTCAACACTTGGATCACAAGACTGATATATTACCAACTCGTTAGAGCTAGATACAAAATTTCCCTAACAGTTAGTGAAATTCAAATATTTCTAGTTAATGTGATATTTGATGTTAACAGAGAGGAAATTCCGCCGTACTCAGAAAGGATCATGTAAACAGGTTTCGACCATAGAGATAGGGATATAAAGAAGCGAGAGTGTGTGAACAAACCGAAAAAGCAATATAGAAATAGGTAGAGAAGGTTGTATAAAGGCCCCTTGTGTTCTTATCTTATAACGCATGCGCATTCTTCCTGTAAATACGTAAGTGTAATAATTATCAACGAGTAGCGTCAGTGTGTATGCCGGATTAGACAAGAACAGAAGGGGCCTCTACACAGCGTTATCTTTCTATTCCCATACCGCATTCACTTACACGGTAATATATGACCGCGTACTTTATCTTTATATCTCTATGCGTATATACGATCGTGCTGTGCGTTAACGAGTGGAGTCGCTGGTACTACCAGTTATCACTAATTACTTTACATACCTTGAATTGTAATTGAAATATACGAATTATAATTATTATCTTCCACCCTTAGCTTTACCATTCATATTTTGTTATAATGCTTTATCCCTATCCTTCTCGCTTATACTTGCATATATTTTTTATAAAGATTATATTATATACTATATACTATACTAAAAACATATAATTTAGAGTACAAAGCTTCTTAGACTTCAAATACATAACTATGTATATGTATTATTGTTAAAAATCTTTTTATTACTTTGCTATTGCTACGATAGTTTGCTTTGATAGTTATTATATAGCAGAGATGTTAATACGAACATCTGAGAACAGAGACTTTTTACATATTCACGGCTCTTTCTTTACTTCAAATTTACATGTCTTTTTTACAATGTAATATCGATATACGAATCTGATTTCTCTCAGGATTCCAATTTCTGCATATACCTAATATTTACCGTTATTTATTATCCAAATTATCCATCTTTCATATTTTTTCATTTTTTACAGTGCAAAGTATAAAGATATATTGTTGGAGCGTTAGCGGAGAGACGCGGTGGCGGTAGATCGTGTGAACGAGAGTCGTAAACGATTAGAGTCGCGAACGTTACGATTAGATAATCGACGCCACGAAACGATCGATCCCCTATTTCGTTTAGGATAATAGAGGTGGTTGAACTGATTATAACAGCGAAGTAACAGGTTACAATATGCACTTTATTCGAACAACTTTGTAGACATAGACAGTTACGCTCGGTACGTATAGATATAAGTTAAACAGATGACTGATCTAAGGTATGACAAACTAGCGAAGTTCTCCGATGATGCTGTCGCAGAGGAAAACTATTGCTGGGTGGAAATGACCGTTGATCATGGGAAAAAGCCGACTTTCCCAGTTTTTTACTCGATGGAACAATAACCATAAGGAACGTCTCGACTTGAATATATTTTATAAGAACGAAGATTATCGCAGTCCGACTAATTATATCTGCACGGTTAGTGGCCGCCTCGACCGACGGATGGATTCTGATTTACGTCAAGAGTCATCGGACGTAACATATATTATATATAAATCCTAAGTATAAATAGGTACGAAGAATTTTGAAGAAAGTTATTTTTAAATAAGAATCGAATTACACGCTTGAATTGGAAAATATGGGAAATTAATCGAACAGTAAGAAGAGAATACGATACTTTATAAAAATTTATTTATTTCGCATTGAACATGTTGTATGTATAAAATTATCCTCTAATTGCGTTTAAATAGCCATCTTTCTATATTGGGAATATGAAGTATTTTCATGATTATAATATTTTCGCAATCTGCTTTCGTCCGATTAACTGACTTGACAAGCAAATATTTTTGTCGATAATCCAAGTGATTCGCATTCACCTGTCTTACAGAAATGATCGTGTTCTTGTCGAAAGAGAAAGGATTATTAGAAAGAAAACAGGAAATACGATAGTATAGGAAGAAAAATAAATGCAAGTCAGTTCATCGTGCATGATATAAAGTTCATTAATATGTTTGCATCTGATATAAAAATTTTCTCCGCTGCGTTTGACAATCCTATTAAAGATTACACATTAAACTATGCGCGAGTACTATTTATTATTTCTAGCATACGATTTCTTTAGTTTCAACACGCACATGTACATATATGTGTATTAATCATTACAATGTACTGTATTTAAGCTCTTTGATCGATGTATATTAATGAATTTCACAATTTCGAGCGTATCATATGTATATTGTCATGATTGGCGAATAAATTTTGACCAATTTTATTATTATTGTTATTATATAATTAATACTATATCTTTGCAAAAGGAAGACGATTATTATCGTTATTATCGAAGTTTTAATCGAGAATCAATGAAATAAAACTGTGCTTAAACTAAAGTTTTCGTCATAGTTGAGTGGACAACAAAGTGAAACAAAGTCGATCAAGCTATAAACGTATCCAGACGTTCCACAATATATCCGTATTCCTTTGTCTTTTATCAAATTTAGATCACAATCGATTATTTTTTTAACGAGTTAAATATAAATATAACGTCATTATAATTTTATTCCGTGCACTTTCCTTTAAATTAATGTTATGCATTCACAGATATTCTCTTTCTCGTGCACGTACCTTTCCTTTTCTCTACTCTTTTTTTCCTACTCTTTTTCCTACGTTTAAATTTATTCGTTTATCAGACTCATCAATCTCTTCGTCCCTCTCTATCTTTTATACATACGTTACAGAAAAATATTATTCTGTACTTTTATATTTACAGCAGCGTCATATAATTTATATTTTCTTCTAATTGGTACAAAACTTCCGATCTAAAATAAATTTTCGTTCTTTCGTTCGCATAAATAGTTAATTAAAATTTAGCACTACCATATACAGAATAATTGACATAGACTAATTAAAAGTGAAAGACTTTACTGGTTAAATTTTAGTTTTATAATTGTTTTAGCTACCAATCGATTCTCTTTTTGTTCAATGTATGATTAAAAGATAGTTTAATTATGGTAGATGTAAAATATAATATATGCCAAGATACATGATATAATTATATTTTTTCGATTTCGTATCGATAAAATAAGATAGAGCAAATTTTCAATTTCGAATGAAACACGGATGTTAGAAGCATCGGATGCTTCTTCTGCAGTTTCTTTGAAACAGAGAAACAAGCTTATCGAAAGTTCGATAATCGTTTCGTTAAAGAATGCTTCGTTGACTAATAATTTTAATCAGACTGTCGGTTGTTGGTTTTATATATTTATATTATCTCTACACGATCTTCTTAATATAATTCTTCTCGTGTCTACCTCGCATTACGAAAGGATTAAAATACTAAATTTTATCGAAGGCACAAATATTTCAGTAATTTTTTTCATAGTATTTCACTAACTAATCTACTAATAATACTTCTTTTAACGGGCGAATTTCTATTTATACATAGTTCGTTATTATTAAAAACTGTAGCCTGAATGGCGTACACACGCTTTACTGCATTTCCCCTCTGTATTTTTCGCCATAATATAGCTTTCCCTTTCTTTCGAATAATTACAATGACAATAACTAATTATAGCAAAACAATGTTTGCAGGAATTATTTTCTCATATAGGTTACTACAGATTCGGATAAGTTGTATTATCATCGATATATTTCTAACTAGAAGTTTTGCTTTAATCCTGTTTGTTATTCAAATACTAAGTAAGGACTATTTAAAAAAGATTCCTTGGAAATAGAGAAGTTGGCCTCTACAGGGAAGAAAATTTTATTATGAAAAATTATACGGTATTGGAACCTGAAGAGGATGTAACAGATTAGACGACTAACAAGCGAATATTTGTTCAATGAGAAGTACAATAAGAATTTGATACTATTTTGAATTGAAACTAAACTTTACAAACAAAATGTTTCACGATGCACGCAATATGTCAGAGTGTTTCATTAAAATTGATAAATACGAGGTTTATTTTATTAAATATCTCAATATCTTAAAAACAAATTTGTATCAGCTGCAATATCGTAATAGTACTATTGAAATCAAAATGATGGAAAATGTCTTTCTCGTGTCTTTTATCATATTTATCGAACACTCTGTATGATATACAACAGGTCAACCTACACTTTCTGCACAAGGAAATCTGCTATAAAGATGGGAAGACGATTCTTACAAGTTATATTACAGATTAAATATTGCGTATTGTAATATTCTCATCGATGAATCAAAAGAAACGTAATTGCCGTGTTAATAAAAAGAATAATGCGTTGATATGACAGTCTCATTATAGTACCAACGATAGACATGATGAGTATTCTTCATTTTAAATAGGAAGCTCCAACTCGTCCATTTTACGACTAATTTTTTATAAAAAAATTTCGCATTTATTCGAAATAAGAGATTGCACCAGTTTACAACAAAAGCGCAATTTTTCATTATACTTTTATAACTTTTATAATAATTTAATAATTTTCATTATAATTTTTCTTTAACAATGATATTAAACGTACAATAACAAATTAACTTTTCCTTTCGATAAAGTACTCGATGAATATAATTGAATTTTCCAAATATCGCAAATATAATTTTATATTCATTTTTTTAATAAAAATCCTTAATCACTGGTACTAACGTTCTAGTTTCGTTACGACAAAGGATACATATTTTTTATATAAACATAATAAACCAAACGTAAACTGTCTTAGTTTCTAAACAATAAAATAATCGTAAAATTTTAATAACAAACAAACGTCATTTTTATAAAAATCCGACAAAAATATCATTGTCACAAATGTAACATAGAATTTGGAAACGTGTGTCCCAAAATAAAATTCATTTACAAGAAAAAGAATATCAGAAATCGTTTCACGCGGTTTAAAAAGCTATGTACGTATCGAGCTATCGTACGAAATCTTTCATCCGTTGTCGGCGTGTTATTAAAACGTACAGAGAATAAAAAAAAAAAATGTATTTGTGTAATAGATAAAAATTATAATGTTCTGTTGATAAGCTAAATGTTATTACCTATTAATTATTACACGATTAACTGCTCTATAAGTAAACAATTGGTCGACTCATGTTTTAAGTACACTTCCATTACCGGGACATAAGACATCGTTCTATGTCTTATTTTTAAGTAAGCGCAGAACAATACAAAATACTGGTTGTTTTATTATAATAATAATTATCAAGGTTAAAACTCTATATTCGTCGTTTACTCGAACCTATCTAATAAAATTTAGCATTTTTATGCTATTTGATACCAACTCTCACTCTCTCTTGTGCTCTCTTTCACTCTCTCTTTCACTCTTCCTTTCCCTCTCTCTCTCTCTCTCTCTCTTTCTCTCTCTCTCTCTCTCTCTCTCTCTCTCAATCTTTCTATCTCTGTACATTGATATTAATGTAAAAGTAAATGCTCTGCATCTCTGCTTCGATTATACTTTCAGTCTCTTTTGCATAGAAATATGCATGCTGAATATTTCGAGCATACCATAGGCCGCTTCGAAATTCGTTATGTTTCAAGGTGGAGTTGTATCATGCAACACCCCCGTGAAAGTAATTTCAATTTTAAAAAAAAGAACAAAAACAAAAAAATATTGAGAAACGAAACATCATTTCTCGTTTGCTTTATGCATTAAACAGTGAACCTCTAATTAGTCTTACAAGAATGTAGTCCCTTCACCCAGAACTAATGTATCATGGACTGCAATGTTTATGGGTTTGTTTACATTTCTGCTACTCCTTGATTATTTAATACATCCGATTCCCTGAACTTATGCACCTCATAAGCGTGGAATCTGAAAAAATCGTTCAAGTTATATATAGTAAAAGATCTATTTTCCTAAATAGCTTTATATTTGCTATTACTTTAATCCTTTGCACTCCTATGTCGAGTGCGACTCGACATCAGTTTTTATCTCAGGAGCTGCTTCGTCGAGTCCCACTCGACATTCTTTTAGTCCCACATTTTTTTGTGAAACGCGCGAAAGATATATCGTACACTTAAAAATTACAAAATACGACAATAGCGCGAATAAAACTGGTATTTAAGCGAATTTGTTATTTCGTTATTAAGTTATTTCGTTAAATTGTCTTATTTTTTAGTTAAAGTAAATTTCAAATAAAACGCCTAAAAACGTTGGCAGCTGCTGGATAACGAAATTGAAATAAAATTCGGAGTGCAAAGGATTAATAGTTTGTACAATTTCTTAGCTATTTGTGATAGTACGATGTAACAAGGAAAAAAAAAGAAAAAAAAAAGAGAAAAGAAAAGTTAATCAGATAATAATCAGCAGTTTTGCAAGATCGGACAATGTATGACCATGTGTATGAACACAGAAATAGTGGTAACGTGGACAAATGGCCTAAGAAATATCGGATGAACCATAAACGATATTGCGAGAAAGTCCAAGTGCCGTTAGGCCAAAAGGGCCAGGGAATTGTTACTTGTCGAGTAGAGTCGAGTGGCGAAGAGTCGAGTGGCGAAGAGTCGAGTTGGTGAGTCGTGAGTTGAGAGTCGAGTCGAAGAGTCGCGAGTTGAGAGTCGAGTTGTGAAGAGTGGAATTGTGAGAAATGGAGAGTTGAGTTGGCGAGTTGTTACGAGTTGTAAGCTATTAGTTGTGAGTTGTGAATTACCCATTTAGTCGTCTTAGTTATAGCACATTAGTGTATTTAGTTCACGTTAAATAATCATCGTTTCCTGTTTAATCCATTGCAAATAGATCTATATATCAATAAACTTATCATATAGGATAGAAATCATTGGAAACCCTAATTTCTAATATTTCTGAAAAAATAAAAAAGAAAGAAATAGAAATAATGTTACTGGTACACGTAATAAAATGGTTTACAGGCGTGGAACAATGTGGCAATAAATATCAAACTTAATATTACGATAAAATAATCTAGAGGTTGATAACGATCGAATCGAAACATCCAAGTTTATAAGAGTTAAAAAAGTGCTAAAAAGGTGTTACACTTTAGTATTATATTATAAATATTTGTTTGTATTAAAAACTAATTGAGGTGCGCGATCAAAATTGATCAGATCGAGTAGACGACAATATTACTATTATAGATCTTCGACTATGACTGTTGCGACACTATGTGAGTTAAAACTTGCCCATATCTGTACTAGAGTGAACATTCTGTATATTAATTAAAGGATATACCATTTATACCATATATTATATATCGGTTTTATAAATTTAATAATCAACTTACGGCATTGTTCAATGTGGTAATAATAATTCAGTGATCTCCTCTCAACAATTCCATCAACAGATTAAACGAGCTGCCTTCTCCTTCAGCACGTTTAGCACTTAATAATTCCTTTCCCGCTTGGCATGTTCTTTGTAAATCTGGAATTCTCAATAATAATTCACCAAACTTAGCAGGCATTTCAGGGTACCTTGCGATAGTATATTGTTGCAATGCTTGTAAAGCCTTTTCTTGAGATGCTCTAACTTTTTCTGGTTCTTTCAGTTCACTCGTATCAGAGGTCAATAGTACTATTACCTATAAATAATAAAAACGAAACGTGTTAGTTTTATAATCAGTGTGTATTAGTATATTCGGTTATAGCATAACACGTTTCTATTAACACTCCGAGGGCGGGCGGCCAAGGGGAAGGGGTTCGCGTCGGCCATTGCCTGTGTCTCCCCGGATCCCAATGTATGCTCGTATGAGAATTTAGCTTTTCATCGTTCGAATGCTTATTTTCCTATGTCTACGATACGAGTCACGATACGAGTGACAATAATCAATGATGGAATAAAAAAGAAGGCTACTGTAGGCAAATAAGGTTTATTACGATGCTGCACAATGCATACAAAGCGTTTTAATTTTTGTGTGTACGCTATATATATATATATACACACACACACACACACACACAGATATATATATATATATATATATATATATATATATATATATATACACATGTATAGATATATTTCCACAGTTATTACATTTTACTCTAGAGTTATCGTTATTTTCGAAACAGGTGTAACATCCTTTTCCTTTTCGAGTTGTTACAGAGTTTGTTTACCTTTGAATTGCGTAGAATGACGATCCGAATGGATCCAAACATCGCGTCGCCATCGGAGTGTTAAATTTATTCGAATAAGAAATTAAAAGTTGTAAAAGTGATGTTACAATGCCTAAAGTAGAATATTAGTTACTTTTTCTTGTTTTGATACGATAAAATGAAAGATATGAAATAAATTAGTTTTTATCTTCTAAATTAACAGTGATTTAAGTCGATGAGCCCAATTATAGAAAAGTAGCAGTATCTGTTAAAAACATCAATTCATATAGCAAATCTTCGTATAAACTTTTCACAGCTAACTAAACAGCTTGAACGTTTTAAGCGATTAAAGAACAAGATTGTACAGTACGGTTACTCCTTTTTTGTTTTTGTTCAGCACGTTTTCTGTGAAAGCAGTAAAATTGACTTTTGAGCGGAATATCGCGTTTTACCGTAATTTTGCAGTAAATCGTGTAAAATATCAGGTAAAATATTCGAAACCATTCGAAGGCCGGAGAAACTGACGTATTACGTCTCTTCATAGTGTGGCATATAGCTATTTATATAGTTATGTTTCTTCGTAGTTGGGCAATATACCTATCATTACATCAAGTACGAGAATATATTTTTCCTTAATATAATACCGATTTGTTCAGTCAGACTATTATAAAATCTACTTATTATTAGGTTTCTATGCGAGTGACAAGGTATTTATATTAAAGTGATCGAAAGGAAAGAGCGAAAGAAAAATAGGAACAAGTTTATTAACAATTTTCAAATTTAACTCCTAATTCTTCTTATTATTTATTGGCAAATTTTCAGAAAGAAAGTCTGATTCGAAAGATTCTTATTGCTACTGCTTTGAATTTATTTTTCACACGTAATCATGCTCTCTGTCTATTAACGTCACTGTTAAAACATTTGTTAATAAAAAGCTCAGAGAATAAGTAAACGAAGGAAAAGTAATTACCTTCATCGCCACGTATTCGTACTGATCTACTCGGAGCCTTCTCAAATTGTTAGTAAATGCAAGCATCCTCTCGATGCAGGTCGCTAAGCCAAGCTGCCTAGCTTGTTCCAGTGTAATCGACTTACCGAGAGACACTCTAATTTCACCGGGAGTGCTCATACTGCGAAAGCAGCATGAGAAGAGCAGTAGCTCGCACCAAGAATTAATCAACAGACAGATCTGATCATCGATCGAAATGTTCTTAAACAACGGCAAACTCTTGCACCACTTCACTATTTTGTAGAGTCGATGATCAGCGATATTGCAGAGGTTCGACAGAAAATCAGGATGTTGAGTTGGATTGCAATTCGTATTGTTGATTTGAGAACTGTTACCAACGGATGCAGCGTGCTGTTCGTTACCAACGTTAGAAACATTGGAGCATGATCTGTTGTCTCTTCTATTACTAGGATTACCATTTCCTGTAGTTCTATTGGAGGAACACTCAATACCTGAGCCCGTGTCGTTCTCTATTCCAGATCCTCCGTTGCTTCTAACACTCAATAACATCGAATCGTTGTTTCTAGTAAGATTCGTTCCTGCGTTTTGAATCCCAGTCATACGATCGTTATCGTTGTAATGCCACAAGTGCTCTACGTCCATGATATCCTGTAGAAGTTGCGGTACCACTTGCATCTTATGGGAGTGATTCGAATGGTGCCTTGCCGGATAGTGATGTTCGTTACCAGCTGGAGCTGGGCTACAATTTCCTCCGGTAGCTAATTTGTCGCTGGACATGTTACTTGCAGGACTACCGACAAAATTTGGTGGAAAGGTATATGTACATTGATAGGTGCTTCTGCCACCCCTGGTGCGATCCTCCCTAATCGCCTCGAGCTTCATACCTATCGATAATCAGAATTACACGATTCTCACAATTTTGTAAAATAAGTAGTAGCAATTTGTATGTTTGATAATTTACGTTTCTTCTAAAATTTAGTTTTAATATTGATAATTCTTATATGTCGTTTAAGATGTTTAAATCTATAAATTATAAAAGCGTACAAGTATAAGCAAACTGCCGAGTACATCGATCTCGTTTAGTATCTCGTTTCTCGATACCGCAATAGGTAATCCAATTCGTAACAACGCTCCACGGTCAAACAAATCATACGCAAACGCCATGAGGCACGAATCCTTGCTTACGAAGGACCGCAAGCTATAATATCACTGTACAAGTAATAGGACCCAAATCAATAAGATTTATATTAAGGATTTCAAATGGTAAAATTTGCGTATACACTTGGACGAGAGAGATAGAGAGAGAGAGAGAGAGAGAGAGAGAGAGAGGGAGAATCTGCTAACACTAAGAAAAGCCTAAAAGACTCACGTCTATGAAACAGTAAGCATGACAGTAACTATGAAACAGTAGAAACAAACAAATCAGTATCGAGACAAATCTTAAACCAAATCACTAATCCACTTCGATACGAGCGATGAATCTGTCAGTGGATCAATGGATCTAACCAATACGCAGCACAACATTAGCCGAACACACGAACACACGATACTTGAAAGAGATTCTAGCAACAGTAACTATTATCCATCCTTCTTTTCGATTAAAACAGATTATGAAACGAAAACGTCTCGCGTTATTCGGATGAAAACAAACGATAGCGGTTCCACGCGAAGCTCGTCCATATCCATTTCTTTGTGAATTTCAAAATGGAAAATGTCTCGGAATAACTAAAGATTTCATCCCAGGCCCTGAAAACACACCCATCCGAAACGAATCGTCTCTTCAAGACTTTCAATTATACGGATCCACAGAATCTTGCCCAACAACCGGAGGAAAGCGATTGTTGTAGCGATTTTTAAATCAAATAAAAATAATAAGCATAAACCAGAAAGCTATCGTACAAACGCAACAGCGCTGACCAACACTATGTGCGAGTTTTTAGAAAGGATAATCAACGAAAGAGTAGCACGAAAGCAACACGAACTTGAACGATACCGTTCAAGTCTACACCTTTAGATTATCATTGAGGGAAACGCGCGTGACGCATAGGCATTGAAAGAGCGCACGATACGATATGCAAGTCGATCTACAAGTGTCGTAAATACTCTTGTCGATCGAAAAATCAACGAACACAGCCTTTATAACAAATTTCCTGGCAAATCGATCTATCCAAGTCGCAGTTAAAAGAATGCTTTTAGTCAGTCGTCCGCATCGCGTTGTTTCCGATTCCTATCGACGACGACATCTCTTACCAACGGCCTGACGTTCACTTGCGATAGAATAAATCTCGTCACCGTTAACGGAACACTCGCAGACATTCGTCGACTAACTTTAGAATTGGTCGAAGAAAGAATCAGATCTGAAATTCTGTATCGAATAATATCCTATAATAATTTATCCCGTTCGCTTGGAAACGTAACTGTCAAACGCCTCCAAGGCTACACAGAGGCTATGAAGCACAGAGGTGAATTATGTAAATAACATAAAACTATGGATATGTATATGTCGGGTTTACATTAGAATTAGGGTTAGGGGCGTGAAACGAATCTTCGTTTGGATTATACGTTGTCGTTATGCAATAGAGAAGACATTGACTAGTGCAAATACGATTATCATAGAACTGGACAAATAACCGTGGTAATTAGATACTCGAGAAACTAATGACAATGATCCTAGGTTCAATAACGAATCCGCGGTCGACGGGATGATAGATGAACGTGCTCACAAAATCCAAGTCGGACGCGTAATATTCGCTGGTCGTAAGGGGTTACTCTTTTCGTCGATGAGATCGCGAGAGAGAATGAATTTCCGTCCCGATGATGCCACGGAGGAAAACTATAATAGGGTGTGTCTAAGAACACGAGATCATCGGATTCGTCGAGAAAAGCCTTCGTTCAGAAAGTAAGGGAAATTGGCGTTGCTGCTAGTTGGTCAATCTCCATATCGGTGGTTAGATAAGATTTATAACGGGCCCTCGAGCTAGCCGAACATGTACTGCGGAGACGCATCGACATCTGGCAATCATCTTACTCGAAGAATAGTGTTACAATTATTTCCTTTTTGAGGAGAGCTCGATACAATTACTCCATGCCTTTGTTAGACAAAGCGTTCATCCCGTGACCGCGGCTACGTTCGGCGACTGGCTGTCGCCTCGAACCCAAGCTCGCTATCACGACTCTCGAACAATTACAATCGGATCGAATAACCACAATTGTTTAATTACAGTTATAGTAGACTCTAGGTTACAATGTCGCGGGATTATCCAAAATTCCAAAGGCTCCGGTGTTCTTTCATCTCCGACATATATATGGATAGAATTATGGATTACCCGTATGAAACGCCTAAAATAATAATCTCGCGCGAAAAGACTAAATGTCGTCAAATTACCACTACTATATAACAAAACCGGAGGCAGCTGTGATCCATTACAGGATTATACAAGTATGCGATGCGACGTAAAACGTAGAAGAACAAGAATATCGTTTAAAATGCCTGGAAATCTCGGATTGCACTTTTCCACGTTTAACGTCGTAAGATCTTTGTTTCGAATGATCTTATTGATCCTAGGCTTGATTCGAAACTAACCCTGATCCGGATCGGTTGTTGCTTCATCGGAATGATTCTACAACTAAAAGACGCGTGACTCGATTATCTCAAATAATCTGAAATCTATCGGTTATCCAGCGAAAACCAGTCGACGAATAAACATGACAACAACTTTCACTCGTCTTACCCATACTGAGGCACTTCTCGAATCTGCAGGCGGGGCATTTTTTCCTGGTAACAACGGTGACTGGACAGCCCGCGCCTCTAAGGCACACATAATTCTTTCGATTCTGGACGGTGCGTTTGAAAAATCCCTTGCACGACTCGCACGAGAATATTCCATAATGAAAACCACTGATCTTATCCCCGCAAATTGGACACGGGGTATTAATTAGTTGCTGCCTCGTGGATATACCAGACGGTGCCGAGGGTATTCTACAGTCTTCCTGATCGTCTGTAGCAGCGTGTCCTTCTGGAGATAGCTCAGAACCCGGTGCAGAGGAAGCGTAGTGATGAGTAATGGCGGAAGAAGCGGTTGCTGGCAGATGAAGCGGGCTTCCTTGAGCAACTTGATGCTGGTGATGTTGCGGATGTCTCGGTTGCTGGACGGGCGAGTGTGTGGGTGGGCTGAGAGAGCCGTAGCTGTAGCAGCTGCTCGAGGCGTCCGAATTGTTTCTCGAGAGGGAGTGTGACAACGAGAGCGACAACGAGGAAGTGGAATTGTTGAAACTGTGTCGCGACAAGGATAGCGACGAAGATGGAACTGGACTTGCCGCGCCCAGGGGGGAGTGGCGAGCTGCGTGAGGACTTTGCGTCGGGGAGCTGAATACGCTGTACGCGGAATGAATGGCCGAGTCCGGTGACGGCACCTGAAAAGTTTTCAAGGTGTCAGGAGGCGTGGTAATGGTATTTTTATCGTTTCTATTTAATCGCGTGTGCTAGGATCTTGGTTGCTTAACGTCTATTAACCGTATTATTATTTTCTAATACGAGTAAGTACAGCTTGTAAATACAACTTGTGTTAGATTTTATAATCTACGTTACATACTATTTTATAATTTATAAGTTTTTCCTAAAATACAGTTTCAATATGAACGTTTTTTGCAGAGAACTTTTTTTGCAGTATCCCTTATAAATTTATCAATTTCAAATACCTGTGTTTAAACATTAACGCAATTGTATATTTTAGTATTCAACTATACTATCGTAAATCGGCTTTGTGCGTTAAAGGATTTATTGGAAAATTGGAACAAGTGCCGAGACTGATAACGTGATTTTAACGATAAAATATGAAAGCGAGAAACGAAAAGAACAAGTGTATTACGAGACGCGTGTATATCTTGCAACAACGACGAACGAATATTTTTATCTTGTAAATTTTATCGACGAACGAATATCTTGTAAATTTTATACGCTTATATTTTCAGATCCGTTTCAAGTTTTACTAATATACCAAGCAGAGTGATCGCGTCTCGTTACAGTGCTAACGAGATTTCAAAATGTTTGCTGTATATATACGCAAAAGGTGCCTAGGAATGTTGCAACGTCGAATACTTTTACGAATAATAATTCGAGAAAGCTATCACAAACATGTACACTTACAAATGCTTTATTACGATAGAACGTAATAAGGGATGTTATAGGAAAGAACGGGTTGACTTTTCGTTCGGATATAACGATAACGTAAATATCAATTTCAAGAAGTAACAGATTGAACAGCTTTTCCTTTTGCACGATAATCGACCACCTAACGATACGAGCGAATCGGCAAGTAACGCGTTACGTGTTGCATAAATTTGCATTTTCTTAATTGATCGCTATTTCACTATTTTACGAGAAATAGGACAGTAGAAAGTGGAATAGCTGACTTTGTCCGTTCTATTATCAATTATATTATCTGGTCGCTGTTCCGACGAACGTAACGTTTATACGCTCATACTGGATGTATGTACACTGGAACGACGAATTTCAAAATCGATACACGGATAACGTTAAAGAAACACGCTGGTTTGTATTACCTGCGATCTCGTGTGGCTATGCTTTGTTAAATGGTGTCTAGGATTCAACACTGGACTGTGATTCGGTGTCGAACTATTGTAACCACCAAGTAATTTTCCTACGAGAAGAGGCAAATCGTTTTGTTGTGTCTGTTCAAGATTCTCGATGTTGCGCTGTTGTTGCTGTTGTTGTATTTGCTGGCCGTGATTCAGAGGTAATCCGGTGTCGTGAAAAGAGCCAAACGTGAAACCTGGGTTGGACTGAAAATCTGGCTCTGGTTTTATGGGAAATTTTTGTTCCATTGGCCCGGGACTCGCGCCACATACTTGAACACCCTCCATTGACGTGTCCTCGTGTGTATCCTGTGATAAAATAAATAGTTTCGTTTATAGAAATGCCCATACCAAAGACGCGTTTCATTTAGGGAAATGACGAAAAACTCAGTTAGGTGGAAGCCTGGTATTTCTACGCTTCTCAAAGTACTCTACCCTTAGATATATCCTTAGATTTATAGATAAATACGAATGTGTCCAAAAGTATCGCTGATTTTTTTTCCAAACGGATACTCGTAGAGAGTGGAAATTTAGCTGGACCACGTTGGAACCTGCTTGGCACGCACTCGGGCCTATCATTAGCCTATCATTAGCCTATCATTAGCCTATCGTTAGCCTATCGTTAGCCTATCGTTAACCTATCCTTAACCTACCTATTTAACCTACATATTTAACTGGATTTCATCGTAAATCGTTCTTATTGTCATTCCGAATTAAATATTATAACGAGTAGAGTACCTTACCTTACCTAACGAGTAGTATTACCGTAGTAAGAAACGCTTAAAAGAAAAGAGCTGTAGTCTAGCGATTATTAGGCTGTTCTTATATGCTGGTTTTCAAATGGTTTAACTTTACCGAATGCTTGGAAAATAATAGCAAGTTACTTAGGGCACGTACTTGATTTGTAATCGTATTGGAAGACATTTCTTGATCGGATAGTTCTCCCTCCCACGACATGGGCCTCTCCGGTTGTTGCTGAGACGCGTCGCTTCCATCGTAACAACCGTTTCCATCCTCGACCTCTTCATCGCCGATTTTCTCCCCGCTTTGACTCTGACTACCAGACACGTCTCGCTTCTTCTTCGTACGCAAATTCACCCCTCGGAAGTCGATTTTGCTTATCTCAACGTCGCTATCCTCCGCGTCATCATCCGCCGTGCTCTGGTCAAGGATGTTCACTCCGATGCCGATACTCTGTGTGCCGGTGCTACTGCCTATCCCCGTGGTAGACACAACGTTCGCGTTTCCACATCCCAGTATGGAGCCACAGCTCGACACCACCGATACCGTCACGCCATTCTGCCCGCCAAGATACTTGCATATACCCTTGCCTGAAAATCCCATCAGACAGTTTCGTTAGATTTAACAGTTTCATCACGGCTAATAAATTTCCTGCTAAAAATACCGCCATCATTGGCTATAGCGTAAGCTATAAGATAGAAAAGAATTTCGTTAGGCAAAATTATAGCATTTCCGATCCGGTGTACGACGATCCTCGCCCAAACATCGTCTCTGTATTTTCCATTCAACAACCGAGAGACCAAAAATTCTTTCTCTCTTATACGCCGATCGATGGATCTTTCTATCTGTTCTCTATAAAACAGGCGAAATTAAGATCCAAGTATCTGGCTTATATAGCTTAGATATCTAACTATACCAACAGCCTATCGCAAGATTCTCGTTCTACTAAGCATTTTCTGGTATAGCGGATACTATATATATACAGTAGATATTTCAATAAACGTACAAATTTTATATTTTTTCTTTCGATGATTCTTAGATAATCTCTATCTTAGATAATACGAATGTACGACTTGGATCGGTTATCTCGGCAAGTAGTAGAGATAACTCCGTGACAATTTCGTACTCGTTATATATTGTCCGTGGCGATATTGTACCAGCCTCGTACAGTCTCTACTTCGCTAATTTTCCATTACTTTTCGTCGAACAATTTGAAATACTTTGAAATAATTTGGAATACTATTATTATTCCACCTAACACGACATATGCTTACTTCCGTTAATATTCCGATTAAAATGGAATAACTTTTTTCACGAGTTAGAAGGATTAGTTTAGCGGATTTCCTGTTAAATAACAGGAAATTGAAATAATTAAACGTACGTAGTGGTATTCATACATTCTATTAGGTTAAACACCGATATTCTTAATATAATATTAATTATATAATAATAATAATAATAATATAACGCAACTTTTCTATACACTGGCGGATACGAAATATTTCTATGATAACTGTTCGAACATAGTACTACGACGAGCTACCGCATATACAGTGTTTTCAAGCTATTTTGCAATTTGGTTACGCGATAGCGCGTTATACCGCGTGATCCGTTCTGCCGTACTACCCTCTTTGATCGCGCAACAAGCGTGACAAGTGTTTTAGTAGAAATTCAAGTATATTAAGTAAGAAAACTATATTCTATAGTAAAGGATTACCATCGTGCATGTCCTGATTAGGGGGTACATTGATCGTCGTGACAGAGACGTTCTTTGCCGTTTCGGAGGAGCGGGCCGCGGTGATCGTGCAAGACGGTCCACCGCCAGGAGTGGAGGAACAGCAGCTGGTCGACGAAGTGGCCGATGTGGTGGTCGCCAGGGAGGACGTAGAGGTGGTGCAAGAGGCAGAGACGGAGGCGGAGTTGTCTGGAACGGTTGAACAAGTGGACGAGGAGGCAGCGGTGCAGGAGTTTGTCTTCCAGGACTGTGAGGTTGGCCACCAACCAGGACCCGGCCCTGGGCCC